GGTCTAAAGTGGAGGGACACATCCCTTTGGCCTAAAGTGCCTCTGTTAGGTAAGGGTGGGGTGTTCCTGTGGTCCAAAAGACTGGGTTTTTTGAAATGCAATATCAAAATCTAGAACCGTGAAGTCTTTGGCAACCTAAATGTGAGAATTGACAAGTTATTATCAAATATCAAAAGGCTGGATGATGCTGAAGAAGTAAGGGTGCTGCAAAATGAAGAGATTGTTGAAAGAGATGATCTCAAGATTGATCTCAAACATGCTCTCAACCTACAGGAGATATCTTGGAGACAAAAATCTCGAGAAGGATGGCTCAAAGAGGGTGAGAAAAACTCTCGATATCTTCACAGGATGGCTAATTACCGCAGGAAACTAAACCATATTAATCGCATTTTGATTAATGGACAAGCTTTTGAAGGTAAACAAATCCTGGGAACAGCCATCAGTAATCACTATGAGAATCTCTTTAAGGAGTCTATGACAAAAAGACCTTTTCCTAGTATTTACAATGGCAAAAACTTGGGCAGTACGGAAGGTCTTTCTCTCATAGGTCTCTTCGGTGAAAAAGAGGTTTGGGATGCGCTCGTTGCTAGCGATGGCTTCAAAGCCCCGGGTCCGAATGGATTCACTCTGGATTTTTATAAAAGGTGCTGGCTTATTATTAAAAAGGATGTGCTTCAGGCTTTCAGTGATTTTCATGAATCTGGGTATCTTCCGGATTGCGCTACTCACGCCTTTATCTGCTTGACTCCCAAGGTAGATGTGGTTGAAGAAATCAGAGACCTCCGTCCTATTTGTCTTATGAGTAGCTTTAACAAGCTAGTGAGTAAGGTTCTGGCTAGACGTCTGAGACTCGTTCTTCCTAATTTGGTTTCCCTTAATCAACATGCTTCTGTTTTAAGGAGGAACATCTCGGAGGCCACCCTTATTGCTAATGAGCTTGTTGATAGTAGACATAAGAGCAAAAAGGCGGGCTTAATGTTCAAGCTTGACATTGAAAAGGAATTTGATAACCTTAATTGGGGCTGCTTGTTTAAAGTTTTATCATGTCTCGGGTTTCCTATCAAATGGCAGCAATGGATCCGTGGAGCTTTATGTACACCAATGACCTCCATCTTGGTTAACGGCGAAGCTAATGGTTATTTCCGGGCGGAAAAGGGTGTGAGATAAGGTGATCCCTTGTCTCCTGGAGTGTTCGTTCTCGTTATGGACGTTTTATCTTTTATGATCACGAAAATGAGGAGCAATGGAGGCATTTCTGGTTTTTTCATGGACGAATCTCAGAATCATGGTGAAGTCACTCATTTGTCTTTGCCGACGATGCACTTATCTTCTGTGACGCATCGGCTGACCAGGTTATCAATATCCTTGCAACCCTTGTTTGTTTTCAGGCGGTCACGGGGCTGAAGGTTAACTTAAACAAATCCACCATGTTTACCGTGGGTGATATTCCGGAACCCAGCTTCTTCGCGGCCATTTTGGGTGCAATTGGAGTAATGACCCAACGAAGTACTTAGGCTTACCTCTTGGGGATCGTCCAAACGCAGTCTCAATCTCAATCTGGAACTCGGTGATCACAAGTTATCAGAACCGCCTGCAGGGTTGGAAGAGCAAGCTTCTGTCTTTTGGTGCTCGGCTCATTCTGAATAGCACCACCCTTAACAGTTTAGCTGTCTACATGTTTTCGCTTCTGAAGGCACCGAAGACAGTGGTGGATAAAATGGAAAAAAATTCAACGGAATTTTATTTGGGGTAACGCAAGTGAATCAACAAGACCCCACCTTGTTAGATGGGATCTGTGTAAAGCTTCAAAGAGTAAAGGTGGTCTTGGTGTAATGGATCTTCAGAGCTTCAATAATGCCTTACTAGGAAAATGAAGTGGAGGTACGCTACGGAGCGAGAAAGCTGGTGGCGCAGGTTAATTGAGATTAAATATGCAGACCCTCATTCGGAGTGGAAGACTAAGAAGATCTCGGATGGATACAACAGCTCAGTTTGGGCTAATATCTCGAAAGTGGATGGAATTTTTTGGAAAGGAGCTTGTGTTGATCTTGGAGGTGGAAGTGGCGTCTCTCTATGGCATGATCACTGGATTCCTGGTGCGTCTCTCGCCACCACCTTCCCAAGAGTAGCTGCTGCCGCAAGCAATCCTGGAGCTCATATTTCAGACTCTATGATCTGGTTAGGTGAATCCTTGTCTTGGGTTGTTCCTTTTTCATTTCAATTACGTGGGGGGGGGGGGGCTGAGAGAGAGAGATGTTCCTTTCTTAACTATCTTGCTACCAATTCTTTTAGAATTTATGCTGGACCTGGTAGAGTTGTATGGAATCCGTGCTTCACAGCCTCTTTCAGTGTCAGTTCTATGTACAGGTACCAAGTGGAGAACCAATTTGGAGGTGTTGCGGACTTCCCTCGCCAATCAAATTGGAGAAATACTGTCCCAATGAAAGTTTGTGGCTTCATGTGGTTGGTTTGGCATAAAAAGATCATGACACAGGACAACCTGAAACGCCATGGATGTGAGATGGCAAATCGATGCACACTCTGCTGCTGTGAAGAAGAGACAGTTAATCACATCTTCATTGACTGCTGCTACACGAAGGAAGTTTGGAAGGCGGTCTTGCTCTCCAATGGCGGTCACCTAGCTGCAGCTGGCGACATTTCTGATGTCATCAAGGATTGGGCTTCTCAGACTCCTTCTAGCTTCAGCCAATGGGTCACCTTCTGCATCCTTCATGCGGTGTGCTGGCTCATTTGGAAAGAACGAAACTCTAGAATCTTTGCAAAAAATGCTCACTCGCATAGGCTGATCTCGCAGAAGATTATCAGAACTGTCGTGGAATGGATTGTTTCGCAGGACAAGGGTACGAAAGACCAGGGAAGACAATGGCTCCTTGGTTGGCGTGAGAATAGTGGATCTTAACTTCTTTTCATATTGTTCTAAAGGTGTGAGCTTGCCTAGCAGCAGCACGCAACCCTCTGGGTCTGCAGGCTCTCCTTTGTTTCAGGTTGTTGTGGGCTGTTCGCCATTTTATGAGTGTTATGTTCTTCGACTTTTCTGGTTTCAGTAGGTAGGACTCTTTGAACTCTCATTTCCACTTCTTGTGGAAAATTGAGGTACTCTCCCTGTTTTCTTCTTGTTAATTTGTTTCTCCTTCAATAAAGTTCATCACCATTATAAAAAAAAAAGTTATCACAGGATGGACCAGCCCTATCACACTTGTTTTTCGCGGACGATCTGATATTGTTTGGCGAGGCGACAAGAGCACAGGTGCAAGAGATAAACGCTTGTTTTGAGAAATTTGGAGGGTCATCAGGTCAGCAGATTAGCAGGCCGAAATCTCGGGTATTCTTCTCGGCAAATACCACAGCTGGGTGCCAGCAGAGTTTGAGCCAGGACCTTCAAATACCAGTGACTACAAACTTGGGGAGGTACTTGGGGGTGCCGGTAATTCATGACAGGGTCTTGAAATCTACTTTCCTGGACCTCATTGACCGGATCGATAAGAGGCTGGCTGGCTGGAAGGCGTCCACTCTGTCCCTAGCTGGCCGGATAATGTTATCACAGTCGGTACTGGCCTCTCTCCATGCTTACACGATGCAGACAACCTTTCTACCGGCAAGTGTGCGTGAATATATCGACAAGAAAATCCGCGCTTTTATATGGGGAAGTACATAACAAGGCCGGAAAATCCACCTCATTGACTGGGAAACGTTGTGCAGACCAAAGGATGAGGGTGGTTTGGGGCTCCGAGATTCCACCAGAACAAATGAAGCCTATATGCTTAAAATTGTCTGGAGAATGCTTACCAAACATAACGAATTATGGGCGAGAGTCCTTTTGGCCAAGTACTCGCGGCAAACGGGAGAGGGACGCTACTTCCGTACTGAGGGCAGGCTCTCTAACCTCTGGCGAGGGGTGATCCGGGTCGCTCACTTGATTGAGGAAGCGACCTTTTGGAATGTTCGCAATGGACGAACAGCTAAGTTCTGGAGCGATCGGTGGCTTGACGACAATACCATTCTGAAAGACCACGCCCAAAATCTGCCGATGGAGCTCCTTGATATGCCTGTCACTGAGTTCGTTCTCAATGGTAAGTGGAATTCTGATTTCCTTCTATACTACTTACCCCATGCTATTGTCTCACAAATTATCCTTCATCCCATCCCGACGGAGGAGGCGAAGGACGTTCGTGTTTGGCGCTTCAACCCCAATGGAGAATTTACGCTACGGTCGGCGTACGAGCTTACGGACAACACGGTGGCGCCCATTTAGAGACAACATGCATGGCGGTCCGTGTGGAAGGCCCCAACCTTGCAAAGAGTGCGGGCATTCCTGTGGCTGATGAATCATGGCCGCCTTCTTACTAATGCAGAGAGAGGATGAAGACACCTCACCACCGACACGAGTTGTAAGATTTGCGGCGGAGGACCGAAAACGACGCTCCATGTCATCAGGGACTGCCCTTTTGCTCGTGCTACGTGGGCGGATCTTCTCGAGGATGAGCCTGACTCTAGATTTTTTGAGGCCGATGCCCAAAGGTGGACTCTTTACTATCTTTCAGGGCGGAGCAACACCATTGATGCTACTATTTTTGCAGGAACCTGTTGGCTTTTGTGGAAGAATCGGAATGACTTCGTGTTCCGGGACAAGATCATCAAAGCATCGACCAGGAGAAAACCATTTTCGGGACTGGGGGCACCGAGAGCAGCGCCTGATTGGCTGGCAACCACCGGCACAAGACTATGTCTGTGTCAACACTGATGGCTCAGTTATTCATTCTCCTGAGAGCACATCCTGTGGCGGCATCATGCGGGGGAGTGATGGCTGCTTCATCAGAGCATTCACTGCGAGCCTTGGAGGGGGTTCTATCACTCGTGCGGAGCTGGCTGGTATTGTATATGGGTTGGATCTTGCTTCGGAGCAAGCAGCCAGGAAAGTTCTTCTACAAACAGACTCAGTAACTGCAAAAATCCTGATTGATAACGCGACCGAGCAACACATGCATTATACCCAGGTCACTGAGATCAGGAGGAGGCTGCACCGCGACTGGACGGTTCGGATTGATCATGTTTTCCGCGAAGCTAACTTTGCTGCGGACCACCTAGCTTCCATAGGGCAATCGAAACCAATAGGAGTGCATGTGATTGATAGACCGTGTACTTCTCTGTTGTACTGGCTGTACTTTGATCGGGTGGGAAGCGAAACCCCCCGTTTTGTTCGTATGCAATAAAGTTTTGGGTGCCCTTAGCGCCCTGTTTAAAAAAAAATGGCAAGTGTTTCCATCAAATATAATTGTTTCCTTGAAAAATACAAGATGACGAACGGGCCATGAAATTCAGGCCCAGTACCAATGTAGCACAATTAAACGTCTAAACCTATCCATCGGTAGGCTCACTACCACAAAAACTAATAAATAAAGCCCAATATGATAACTTCTCCACAGTTTTTTCCTCCATAGCTGACCCGAGAACGAGTCAACAAATTTTCCTCAAATCGTTGACCCGGAACATTCGAGGCCATCCTAGCTAGACGAAGGGTTCGGATAGAATAACAACACTCTTAGTGAGTGTTGTTATTGTAACAACATGATTCATTAAGGGTAAACAGGTAAATTACATATAAATAATAATAAAATAATTTCAATTAAAATTCATAGCCCTATCCATTAAACCCACGGCCAGAACGCTGTCCTCCAATTCCCTGCCGGAGCCGCCCCTCCCCACATCCACCCTCGCGCCCCCGAGCTCAGATGATCTCCCCCGCCGTTTTCGAGAATTGGATCTCCGCCATGTCCGCCGCCGCCTCCCACCTCCTCCTCCTCCACCTCTCCATCCTTCTCCTGACACTACTCACCCCACCCGCCGCCGTCGCCGAGAACGACACCACCGAACCCTGCCCGCTCGACTTCTCCGTCCTCCGCAACCTCGTCCAGAACGCCAAAATCCCCATCGTCGACCGCACCCAGGCCTGCCCGTACCTCCGTCAGGGCCTTCGCCTCGTCCAGTCCGACTACCTCAGCCGGACCAACGATTTCCTCCCGCCGAATCCTGCTGGTAAGAGCGCCTTCTATTGCCATATTCTAGCTAGAGTTAACATTTGCTCCATCTTCGAATGCTGAAAACCTCAGTCAGTCAGCCTCCAAACTCAACTTTTTGCTCCCAGAACGTGGCACATAGAGAGAGTCAACAAGTGCAGTTAATGTGCTAGCTAGCAGAGAGAGATCAGCTGGATCGACAGATGGTGGACTCGACTCATTTTCAAAAGAGAGAGCACGAAATGAAGCTTTATAGCCGATGCCCGAGAGTTGAGTTGAGTTGACAGATGTGGAATGCAGGTCGTAATGGTGACAAAATTGATGGTCAGTGCTCACTGCTGTTTCCAATATCCCACCATGGATTGTTTGTTACTCTGTCGATTGGATGGGAATGGAGGAATGGAGAATCGAAGGAGGAATTTCAATTGAGAATTATTGTATACCTGCCTATGTTTAGACTTGGTATGTGATATGTTTATGAAGAAAGACAGTACACAATAAATACAGACCTATCAAAAAATGGCAACAGTGAAAAAGGCGGGTGGTACACGCTAATTAACCTAGTCACGAGAAATGTACAAGCTAGCTAGGAGAAAAGTAGACTTGAGTATACGAGATATGATGAGAATGAGGTAGATGCATGCAGGGACTATGTAGTTACTTTTACAATAAATCGATTCTATGATTTCATCTGCACTTGCAAGAGAGATGACATAATGATAATATCCTTATTATCCTTTAACTTTTCTTTTACATGGATGTGTGGTCTGAAGCTCGCAATTTCTTTTGGTATCTGAAATCCTTGGCTGAATATTACAATTTATTTTGGAACTCACAGTGGTGTGGTATGGAGAATTATACCAGAAATCCACTAATACGTACAACAAATTGCCTGAAACAAACTAGAGATCCCACAAAGCAAACCACAGAATGTTCGAAAACACACCAGAAACCTCATAATGCAAACCACAAACGCCGTAAAGCAAACCAAAAACCTTCCAGTGCAGACCACAAATCCATTAAAACAAACAAGAAACCCCACAAATCAAACCATAAAATTTTCAAAAGCACACCATAAACTTCTTAATGCAACCCAGAAACACAATAAAACAAACCAGAAACCTCACAACGCATACTACAAATATTCCGAAAGCACACCAGAATCACAATAAACCAAACAAGAAACCTCCTAATGCATACCACAAATCTCCTAAAACAAACCACAAACCTCACAAAGCAAACCACAACATTTGCAAAAGCACACCAGAAACCTCATAATGCAAACCACAAACATGATAAAGCACACCACAAAAACAAACCAGAAACGTCCTAATGCAGACCAAAATTCTACTAAAACAAACCAGAAACCTCGCAAAGCAAACCATAGAATTTTAAAAACACACCAGAAACCTCCTAATGCAAATCACAAACGCAGTAAATCAAACCACATAAACAAACCAGAAACGTCCTAATGCAGACCAAAAATCTATCAAAACAAACCAGAAACCCTGCAAAGCAAACCACAAATTTTTTGAAAACAAACCAGAAACTTCTCAATGCAAACCACAAACACGATAAAGCAAACCATAAACTTCTTAATGCAAACCACAAACACGATAAAGCAAACCACAAAAGACATACAAAAATATGAGAAACCAAACCATAAATCTCACAATGTATACCATAACATCCGGTGGTCGTTGACCATTGACCGGTCAACGAAGTCCGTTGACCGGTCAACGAAGTCCGTTGACCGAACTCCGGTGACCGTCAGTGAGCAGATTCCGACGCCGATAGGCATATTCCGGCCCCGGTAAACATATTCCGACGCAGGTAAGCATATTCCGACGCCGGTAAGCATATTCCGGCGACAAATAGCATATTCCGGTGACCGTCGACCAGTTTCCGGCGAGCGGTGGCAGAATTCCGGCGACCAAATTTTTGGAAAGAAAATAAAAAAATATTTTTTATTTTTTTATTTTTTTATTTTTTAAATATATTTTTCATAATGACAATTATACCCCTGTTTTGATTTTACATTAGGTCAACTAAACTAATAAAAAGTCATCACAACCATAGCTTCCTATTGGTTGGAGACTAGTGTTGTTATAATAACAACAAATATGGTGTTGTCACCATATCCGCTCCCCTAGACGAACTCTCTTTGAAGACAAAAAAAAAAAAAAAAAATCCAGCTCGACCGAAACGCCACCTTCCGAACCTTAAACCGACACCCATCGTTGCGCACACAGTTGGAAGGATGCAAAACGCATCTTTCCCCGTTTCACCGCGGGGAAATATTTTCGAAGAAGAGACTAGAACCTCTCCCGAGACTTCTTTGCCATCTTTTTATATTATCAAGCAAGCGGATCCCCAGCTTTCTTCAGAAGTCGGAAATAGTTTTTCGTTCTCAATACAACGTAAAAAGAAACAGTGATGGTCGATCAACCAGCTTTTTAGCAACTCGTCCGATGTAATCTACACTTTTCCTACAACAAGGAGATCAATTTCCTTCGTGAGCTCATCAGCAACTCGTCCGATGTATATATGTATCTGTGGTTTCTTTAATTTTCTTGTGAATTCTAGCTGACAGAGGTTTTGGATGTAGATTGATTGTGTGATTGATTGTTTCTGTTCGGCTGTAGGCTTTGGACGAGATCCGTTTCGAGAGCTTGACGGACAAGAGCAAAGCTTGATGTCCAGCCGGAGCTGTTCATCCCCCTCATCCCTCACAAAGCCAACAAGAATCTCTCCATCATCGACAGGGGTGTTAGCATCACGAAAGCAGGTAAATATTTGGGGTTGTTTTGTTGTGCAATAATTTTTGTTTGATTGGGTGTTAATACTTAATAGATATTCGATTGAATAGTGGAAGCAAGTAATTTGAAATTTATTGGTCCGATTGAGGTCCAATCTGTTTGAACTGTTTATATATTTTCTAAATATATATACAAATGAGATAGTAACTTAAAATTTTAATAACTCAAATGAATTTTACTTTATATTTATTTATTAAAAACTCATCTGTAATAAACGAAAACATATATAATCCTCGTGACCCACCAACCATCTTCCTTTGCTCTCTCTTCTTCTCCTTCTTTAGGGGTTGAACTGAGAGATTTTAGGAGGTCATTTTGAAGTCCGACTTTGGTCGCCAGACCCAGCCGAGAGCCAGTAGTGGTTTAACAACATTGATTGTTTTTTCCTCTTTCTTAATTATAGTAATTGATATCACCATTATATAAAAGAGAATAACATATGCTTCCGCCTCAATCGGATAGGAACAATAGAATATCTCAATCTTGTCATCACACCTAATTATGAGAATTATCTGTTAGAATTACTTTTAACAGATGTAATTTCTCGGAATTCATCTCGTCGGATTATCAAAGGTTTGTAGAAATACCCGGAATCATGTCGGTTGATCGTCAGAGACTTGGTGCGGAATATGAACGACGATCTTGAACTAGACGATATTCCTAGAGCACGATCCAGGAGGTTTCGTGACCTTCCTCAACCAAGCCTCCTTAGTCCACTAACGGGAATCCTCTGATCTTCCTGATGGAGAGAAGAAGAGAGTGTTTGGTCTTGGTGTGTTGGGGACCACAACCTCAAACACCTTATATACTAGTTTCACATGGGCTCCCATAAAATCCAAGTGGACAAGTATTGGGTTTCCATCCATTAGACCCATATTGGGTTTAAGCAGTCTTGGGCCTAACAAAATTGATCACTTTAAATAGTCCATCAAAATCAAATACCCAATATAATATTTGTGAATTGATAGTCCACTTAAGATAGGAATAAAATTCCTAACAATCTCCCACTTGGACTATCTAATTGCACAAACACTTATATTACAAAATTATTTAGGCGCGCAACCGTATGGTATTTGTACAACGACTACTTCTTAACAATATGGTCCGCCTCATGTATCAACAATGGAATCAACGCGGCTTTAATCACGATATGATAATGATTAAACCACCATGATCACCACACCAATACACTTAATGACATAGATCAAATATGGATGAGTGGCATGAAAATTGCATGCAATGTGATCTTCAACATGTCTATTTTCAACTGGTCCAACTTTAGTCCTTATTGAGATCAACTGAAATTCCTTCACACAATGTGACCACTGTATAACTGAAGGGACTTTAAATTACAAAATAGACTCTAGAAAATCATCACTTTATTCTGCAGAAATTGATTTAGTCATAACTACTGAACATACTTAAATGACTCCTACTAAACCAAGGTACCATCCGGAATAACACTTATGCAAGCAATATGCTCATGAAAAAACCTTTATGTGTCAAACCATTGGCTAATGGATAAGCTAGCATTAGTCATTTCCTTAATGTTCAATAGAAACTTGTCTATTTTGAGCTTTATCTTTACCCACCGGGAGCTTGATGTCAATATATTTGACTTCTGAAATCCGTGATAATAATAGTGTATCACTATCAAATCATTGTCACTGTTAACCTTTAATGAGTTACCAACGTCATTTTAGTGACAAAACTTTGCTATCATAATTGGAAGTCTCAAGATATGCTTTGAACTCTACCCAACACTGAAGGGTAACCTGATGTAGAGTTTATGCTACCTTTACATCCTGTAACATCAGAGTCAGAGTACTTGATGATCTCTAAATTATCTGATCTCTAACAAATTTGCATGAATTCTTTTATCAACTTTAGTAAACGTGTTGCACGTTTGAATCCTTCTAGTGTTTCATGCGTAGATCAATCAAATATCTGTCAAAAACTCTTACTAGAAATGCTTTATTGGGATGAGAATAAACTAAAGTATACATTAGTTCTTTAATGCAAATATGCATTTAAGAGATTTTGTATCTTAATTTCTTATATATAATTGGGCACTGATTAAGACCGAAACTGTCTTCCGTAGCTACAACACATCTCCTGGTTTACTAACATATTCTACTTGCACCTTAAGTAAAACAACCATGATGTGATTTTCCTGATTTTAACCAAGCCCGAGTAAATAACCAACTGAGCCTTCGGAGCTCAATGAGATACTCTAGTTTGGGCAAAAATTTTACTGGCCGAGTCAAATTCGGATTGACAATCATGGTTATGGCTCCTTCTCTATTTGAAGATAGATTGGTTCAAATCACAATATTTTTCTATTTTTTAATAAACCATAAAAAGTAATAATTTGAATTAATATAAGAATTTAAATTAAGTATTAAAATACAATTAAAATGAGAAACCTGACATATGTTAGTCACACAAAGTTTCAATCTAAATGCATGTTCCTCGAATTAATAATTTTTGCTTCTTATTTGTATAAGATAAGATCGATTGGCTCTATGGCTGTGTAGCAGGAAGAAAAATATAATTGACTACTGTGAGATTTTGATAGCTTTTTAGATGTTTGGGGCTTGTTTTGTAGGCTGTCGAACCTAAATAAAGAAGAAGAGACGAGGAGATAGTGAGACATGGATTGTTGATGTCCCCTGCTGTAGGGTTAT